GATTTATGGTTATGTTACTTTACCGAGTAATATCTTGTTCCAGCATCTGGATTGAGACCGGCAAAATGACACTTTGCTCTTCATTTTTTGTAATAGCTTCGCACCTGAAATGATTCGCCTATTTGAACATTTGATTGCATAAAACAATTCAATGGATAATTATTATGACTGAAACTGAAAAGGGATATTCAAGGCATAGATGACAATTAGCTTATCTGTTATGTTGACACAAACAGTAAGTAGATTAGAAAAACCTGTCGCATTTTATGCTGGATTCTATAATGAAGGCAAAATTCGACGTGACAGGATTTTTTGTGTTTCGTTCTTGTTTATCCTGAATGCCATATTGTTCGCACAACATCACGTCGCACTCCTCTTCGATGTGACCCAAAATACTAACTAAGAATTCGAGGGCGTCCTGCAATTAAATGATCTCTCACAAAAATTTCTATTGAATTAGTTGACAAACTCAAGTTGTAATTGATAAAAAATGTTGAGCATGTGTGATATTTATTTCACAGTGCTCGGAAAGCTCTTCCTTCCGTCCATGATAATTAGTAAAATAATCAACAAAACAGTTACCATTAAAAAGTCAATTTAAAAGTGAAAGTACTATATCCAAATATGTCCACTTCAAAATAATTGCTGCGAATTTAAAGATCAACCTGTTGTCCATCACCCATGAAATCGGCTGTACTTTGAATTGCTTCTAGCAGTTTTATCTTCAAATCACTTATAGTGTTACCCCGTCCTCTTGCAAGACTGGCAACTACTCTAAAAGAAGATATTATGAGACACATCAAAACTTAGTCTCACATGAAGATATTTGGCTTTTTCTAAATTAAAATTTTATTCAGCACTTTCTGCCAAAAAAATTTTGGGATTTCAGAGGTATAATTTTCGTGATGAAATTTGCATAAAGGAAGGATCCTTAACTCCATCCTCAGCTGTGCTAGTCTCAGTTTCGTTAATTTTCTATCAGAACAATCATATATTTTGTTGCTATGACTCCCACATGATTATGTTCATTGTTCCGTGCAACTATAGGGAAGTATGAAATGCATTTTATCAATCTTCTAGAAAAGGATTGAGTAAAGAATGGTCTAGCGATCAGTTCGTTCAACTGTTATAATCACATTAAAGGAAAGGAAAAAAAACTTACAGACTCAAAGGCATTTCTTCATCCAAATTCAAGCCACGCTCTTCAATTTTCATGCAAAATTTATAAAGCTCTTTCACAAAAATCCAATTAGCAAACAAGCCTTGCAGAATAGAATTCATATAGCACGTGTTACCAAGATTCGCAAATCTATAAATGTATTTTAAAATGTCAAACATTTCAAATATTATTTTAAAATGTCCCAATTTTTTAACGAGCGATTTTAGGAAAAACATCTAAAGATGCATTTGATTCTTCTCATTTTTGCTGTCAGGAACTACAGCAATTTGACGTAATTAGGATCAATATAGAAACGGCTAATTTTTGTAATAACCTACCCAGAAGTTTCCGATATAATCGTGGGAAGGCCCTGAAATACATCAATTTTTCAACGATATCATTTATTTGTTTCTATAATACTAATTATTGCATTTTATCGTTTATTATTTCACACACAGCAACATTACCGATGCCATTTTGAGAATATCAACCAAAAAGATTCGATGTTATTTTTTAACTTTAGTAAACACTCCTAAAAAATCAGTCCTATATGCCTCTATGATGAAAAGAAAAGGTTTGACTTCGTGGCACATAATTAAATAAAAATGCATTTTGCTTTATACTGCAATCGAAACATTACGTAACATATGTCGTGATCGTGATATAAAGTAAAATGCTTTAAATGGAACACATTACTTCATGTATCTACTACCGATGTACATCAGATATTTTCAACTGATCTCTGTAACAGAAAGCATACATGTTCAGTTAACTTCCTATAAAATTGTGCATGAGATGAAAGGGATGATCAGTCACAGATATAAGTAAGCAGTTAAGGAGATTCAGGAAGTTGCGCACTACTTGTTTCAAGAAACTTTTTATGGAAACTTCAGAATCCCAGAGACAAAAAAATTATATAGCACCTAAAACATAAAGACAGACACATACGGAAAAATTCGCTTTTTGACGGTTTGCAAAATCGTTCAAAGATAATCCATTTAGCCTGCAAAAATCAAATCGTCAGTGAATTTGAATTTGAAGTAATTTAAACTACTTGCAATTGTATATATTTGAATAACACACTCTGTCGAAAGATCTTCGGTTTCTGCTGCATTTTGTTCTGCATCCAAATTGAATGACTTTTTGATTCTCTTCAATGATGGCTTCCATACAACGCTTTGGTTGACTTGAGAGGGCATCTCGTTTTTTGTAGAGTCTAAAAGAAATATAATAAATTTATGCAGAGTAAATAATGTAAGGATCTATATTCCATTAAAAAAAGAAACTTACTCAAGATGACCGCTTCTTGCATTGTATGCCTTTTTCCAAGTTTTTTCCTAAAAGAAAAAGATAAATTGGTGCCATTCAATAACGTCATCAATTTTTATGGCATATCTCAGAGGTATCACAACATCATAAGCAACATTTCATTAAAACGATACCAATCTCTACATAATTTGGTTAAATTTTTGTTTTAGATTATCATTTCACAGAACTCTTGCTAAGCAATTATGCAAATTCTTTATCCTGAAAAATCATGTACGAATCACCGCTTTGCATAGTTCATGAAAAAAACCTAACGAGGAAGCAGATTTTCCAGAGTCCATATTTTTCGTGACATTACCATGAGGAGATAATATTGGAGATGTGAACTGAGAACTGACTGCAAAAACAATGCAAATTATGGGATGTTTTAGATATTCTTGTAATAGACATTTGCAATTATTCAGAGGAGGCTTACCACTTATCGTCATGTAGGATATTCAGTTTTCAACTGATTTAATAAAAGTTTAAATTGCATTACCCAAATATTTGTTCTTTAGCAATCTGTGAGCATCAAGTAAATCTTCATGACTTTTAAACTCGACAAAGATGTCTACATTAGTAAGACCCAAAAATCCAAATCGCATATTGTTTTCCAAAGGTGGTAACCAGGGCAGTCCTGTGAATGATCCAAAAGGAAAGATCTAAAAGATAAAATTGTTTTTCATAAAAAAGGGACAAGCATATACCGTTTTTTATAAATTACAATAAATTTTAAAATATTTCTAGGAAAAATCAATACATTATTTTGTTAAGAAATAAATAAGCATGGAGCAATTTGGCAGACTCAAAATACAACTGAAATTCACTTACTATTTGATCATCACCAAACAAAAAAGTAATCCCGGCTTTATCTTCACTTAACGTCATGGTTATCTCCGGCCATGATGCCGGTTTCAACAGAACAGATAACACCTTAAATTTACGAACACAATCATCTAAGAAATACCGTAGAATAAATACAAACTGTGTCATATAACATTATAAAGACATTCAATTTGGCGCATCTTTCAATGAAAAAAGGCAGACAACTCATCAAATGATTTGACACTCTGTGACAATGACAATCATCACGATCTTTAGCAAGAGAATGCTACGGTACGCAGCATACGGTATATGCGAAAGGTTTCATGTAAGGCATTGTTGTACCTGTACTTCAACAATGCTAAAATTGTTATTTTTATATCATGATCAAAATAAATCAGGTAACAATGATGCAATTACATCATGTTCATCGTTAACCATTAACCTTTCTTTAGTAACCTTATAACACTCTTTGTTTAATCATTTCATTTAAACTCACTCATCTATATTATCATTTAAAGGAAAAACATCTACATCATCAATTAAAGGAAAAATTACCTTAACTTTGAATTGACCTGGTTTAAGTACCATGACTTGTGACGCATTCATATTTCAACTAATTCTCCACAATATGCTCTCCGGTAAATAGCTGTAAATAATTGAAGATTAACCGAGAAACACAGGATAAAAATTTTCCAGCTAATTATTTCACTGGAAAATTCTTTATAATTTTCGCTGATAATTTTTTGCTCTTGCAATCAAATGATAATGCAAATTCAAAATATTATATCAGTCATGTACGAATGACATGTGAAACTGATCAAACAATCAGAAGGAAAGAACAGCGCAATAACCCAGCAGCCAATCAAACGTTCACACGAACCTCCTGCACACAGTCATCTCACTCTCTCACACACCCCCACCACTGGCCTACAAATTTGCCATATTGCGAACACGGTAACAATTCGACCATTCGCTCAATCTTCGCTGCCTCTCTTCAAAATTCAGCCAGGTTACGTGATGCATACGCATGGTTCGTTCAGTGTGAGCAATTTTCTTTTCCATTGTGTTCCGTGATATCGTTTCTTTAATTCCTGAATTTATTCGGACAACTGCAAAATCCTAATGCTTTCCGGATCATTCTGGATCAGAAAATTGCTCCGTGTACTATTTTGTGTCACTTTGCATATGACGTGTAATTAATTATTCGCTACATGTTAATTAGAAAGAATATAATTAGAGAGAGAATTTTTGGGACTGTTTGTTGAGGAAATAATTCAGAAAGGATATGATTGGATATAAATGATCATATTGATGATATAATATCAAAGAATATCTATAGTACTCAAAAAGCGTCATTTAACGAATGAACCGAGTTTTTTTCCACTTTTGGGATATTAAAATCAAACAACAAAGTGTAATTTAAAGATGATGACATGGTTTGATTTGGAAACTTCTGAACATTATACATCTCTTTCTGTACACAAATTCATTCATTGAGATAAACAACAAAGTACAAGAATACTGTCAAACAGCGGTCATCCGGACGGAATGTTTATTCCATCTTTGTGCACTGTTTGCTCCATCGCAGCGGAAAGAGCTCTGAATTGAACGGAAGAGGAATTCGTCAAATGCTGGATCTTTTCAAAAAGTGTCAGAGCAATTGATTACAGTAATGCATAGTCACAGCAATTGTATGAGAGTTAAGAGATCAATAGAGAAACAACATACAGTAACCACAAAAATTAAAACAGTAATGCAACAACAACAACAATGTATAGTCACAGCAATTAACTCATTAACCTATAATATTACAAGGATAAAAAACGATAAATCAATGAACAGAATTTTACAGGAGTGTGAATAGTGACGAGAAATATATCAAGAAATCCTCGTAGTAGAAAGCGTGATAGAATGGATGTATTGAAAATACATGGGGAATACAAAAACTAGTGAAAAATGAAAAGAAAGATGAGAAATTATTACTGCAACGAATAATGGAAGTATGTTATGACAATGTCTCACTTTTGGATATTTCTTAAAGGACAGTCACTTCTGAACCGAGAATGATAGTTTGTGGCGTCTCGAGTATTTCATCATTAACGCTTGTTTAAATACAATCACAAAAGTTAACATAACTTAGTACAAAAAATTAGCATATTTTTAAATATAAAAGACAGAAATATTATTTCTGTCACTCATTGTTCCTGTGGTT